CAAAAAAGGATTTAACAATATATATGAAGAATATGAAATCTTGTTTGTATATTACTCATGAAAACTATTTTGAAATTCACATAAAGAAATGTTTTAATGAATGTTAAGTAAATCCACAGAAAGTGACTTAGCAGAAATAAAGGATGGTGGGGAAAGTTTTTATTAATTATGATTTTAAAATTGTATAGCGAATATAAAATGCAAATCTTCTACACTTTCACTAAACTAGACTAAATAAATGAAAACATTATTAAGTATAAAAGAATAAAAATGTGCGTTATTTATCGTAATATTGTAATAATATTGTTGCGTTCTATGTGTTCGTGGATTTGGAGCGATTGATGACAACACTTGATGAAGAATCAAGTATTATCATCAATCGCTTCATAATCGATAAAGAAGCAAGTTCTGTCATCAAAATTACACAGAAGAGTTCCAAAGACACGTTTACAGCTGTCGAAAAACTACGATAAACACACTGAATTAACCCGCAACACAGCCTTCAGGCCGTAACGGTAAAGATAGCTTCATGGCAAAGCACTAAAGTGCGGCTGCTGACTCGGCCGATTGCTCTCAAACTAATCTCTGAACTTCCTACTGTACTACTGAACTCAAGATACTGTTCACGATAAACTGCTGCTCAGCGTACAGGCAGAGTTTATATAGCTGTTGACCTGCCTTCGAGAACATTCTGGGGCAAACCGGTAAGAATTCATTCTAGAATGCTGTCGCTCAGTCTATGGCATATCACCAATTTTGTTACCAAACGGGAGATTTCGAGCTAAATCAGGCAACCTTAAGTCCGCTTTTGCGGGGAAGCTGTCTTACCGCAGCTGGGCTAATCGTAACAATAATAATATTGTAAAACTTAATAATATCGTCGTAATATTGTAACGTATTCTTATCCAGTCCTTTTATATACAGCCTTAAAAGAACTACTATGAATTTAACTTTACCTATATTTGCGAAGTAAACTTTAAAATCACTTCATTAAAATTCATTTTGACCAAACACTGCGTTTGCGAACCTTTTTAAGGCCCCAACATTTAGTAGGGAACTTTGAATAGGGTCCTAATCTTTAGTAGAGGAATTAATTACTGCGGATAATTAATCCCTGAACAAAAAGGTGCACCAAAATAGAGTTCCGAGACTAACTTTATGCATTTAAATTTCCTTCCATCCTAAAAAATTACAGCATTTAATTATTTTCAAAAATGTTGTTTTAGTTTGAGAAGCTGTTTCTTAAATGAGAGAAGTTCATGTTTGCTTAAAAGTAAATATATTGATAGCACACTGAAATCTTTTCATTGACTGTTCATTGATGACACCAGTAGGTGTTAAATAAGAATTGAAAAAAAAAAAAAAAAAAAAAAAAACTGAGAAACTGCAAAGAGCTTCTACCTCTCTGTTTTCCTAACCTTTCCTTTGTTCTCGCTATATGTGGTAGCTCTTCTCTATTCAGTGATGGTTTGTTGAAGGTTTAGTACTAAATATCAGTTAATTCTGCATCATCTTAGTTCATTTTATATGCAGAAGGAAAATTCTAATTAATTTTATCGTAATCTTATTTATAAAACTCAGAAGGAAGGAATATATTTGAAAAGCATATTGAGTCGTCTAGTTGCTTTAGAAAGATATATGAATCATTACTAATCGATCGTACTTTAAATTATATAGTGCTTTCATTAATATCAAGTGGTATGGAAATTAGCTAACTGTAAATTAAACCAAAGTTGTTTTGAAAACGAATATGTATCTAGTGAGTTTAGGGTATGATTAATATTAATAAATGTTTTTATTTCAAGATGAGTAAAATTAAAAGAAATTTTTAACTTCATTTTCATTAAAATCCTCCTTAAAGAAAAAGCACGTTAACATTCACATCCTTCTCGTATTTTAGTAAAATTTATTTTAGAGTGATGCTTTTATCTATTAACTCATATTAGAACCATTAAATTTCAAACTATGCCACTTTATTAAACATATAAGGCATAAAATGGAAAATATATTCGTAACGATATACAAATTCATACTCTTCAAATATTTACAATGTTTCAATAAAAATTTTATATACTCAACGATTTAGCTACATCTTTATTAACCGGACATTATATAATTATGTCAACAACTGTTTATTACAGGAGGTTAATATAGCTAATTTTTAATATACATTTGTTGCTCTATGTGTATTTAATGTACACAAATGTTATTACTTATTTTTCTTATTGTATGCATAATATAAGAGATAACATGGTATGTAAGTAATAAATAGATAAATAAACTCAGTTATCATTTACTGCGTTAATACCAAAATGACTGTGTATTGTCAAAAACAATCTGTTGCTATAAAACAATGTAAATGCTTTTCTTTGCACATATATATAAAATATATAAAATATATAAATATATATAAAACACATATATATAAAATATATAAAATATAACTCTGCGTTTTTTTCTATGTTTTATTTGTAAAGTTCATCTTAATTTTTATTATTTTTGAAAACGTAACAGTCATCCTTATTTCATATTGTTAATGATATCTTCACTTTGGAATGCTTATTATTCTCTTCTGCTTTCACGTTGGAGAGAAATATAAAATAGCCAAGCTTTATTTATCTAAATTATGTTACTTTGTAGAGACATTAGGTATTGTTGGAAGCAGTCAAGATGAAAAATGAACAATCACCTTCGCCGGGAATTCGAACCACGGACCTCTGGAATATCGGCCCAGCGTGCAGAACTACTACACCACGAAGGCACGGTAAGAAGGTGGGAGAAGTACCTTATAACTTTTTGTTTAACATTTAATACTATTTAAAAATTCTAAAATTTACTTAGCAAAAAATTATAATTTTATAGATCAGTATGGTAAAAATATAGATTGTTATAATTTATAGATTAGTATAGTAAAAATACAGATTATTATAGCAAAAAATCATAACTTTATATATTGAATATCATGCGTTCGCCACGAATGATAGACAAATTCTATGTTCTTATCTGTTTAATTTGTTTCTGATTGTAACTTACATATTTTCAGTTTTTTGCTTGTTTAATTGTTTCTACGGTCATTGTGTATTAATTTTTTTCCAATAATATTGGATTATCAGGTGCCATGCACCTGCTTCATTTGTATTGAATATTATATTTTATACTGCAGCTTACACAGTGTATAATACTTCTTCATCCTATCGCTTTTTTGAGTACTTTTATTTAATCATTTGTGCATGGAACTGTTCAAACTATCTCATAATTTTTAAAAATTGTTCAGAAATACAAATACAAAACATCTTTATATAGGAACATACAAACTCAAACCGATTGTGCTAGAAGTACAGGAAGAATAAAAGATAAATGAAAGCTAAGTTTACTAAGTTTACTAGAGTGTAACATTAGTTTACTAAGTTTACTAGAGTGTAACATTAGTTTACTAAGTTTACTAGAGTGTAACTAATATACTAAGTTTACTATTTACTAAGTTTACTAGAGTGTAACATTAGTTTACTAAGTTTACTAGAGTGTAACTAATATACTAAGTTTATTAGAGTGTAACATTCGGAGTGCGTTTATTCCATCAGAGCTTATACATGACTTGCAATGGATGACTTGCAGTACATGACTTGCCCATGCATGGATCGACAAAGGTATCTGAAACGCCAAAACTCTCAGTGACACTTGCGATGTTGGTCAGTTTCATGTAATATGAGACTTGACGGTCTCATATTACATGAGACCGTGGTAACAAGGCTTTAAATCCAGCTCCAGCTAGAAATCAGAGCTATCTAGAGATCAAAGTGGGGGAGGCAATCTGAATGATCGCAGTGACAAAAAAAAATGTTTTTTTCATTTACATAGATGTTTCATTGCATAATGACTTGCTCTGCACAAAGCGTTTTTTTACAAATAATCCTTTTTAGCACAGGCTAGTAGCTTTCGCAATAGCATGTTCCTATGAAAAAGTAGTTTGTGTTTGTATTTCTTACTGCCTTTAAAGTTTGTCTTAAAAACACCTTTTGAAAACTCTCTTGTATACACATACAGCAAGACTGAGTACTCTCTGGTATAAAATATTCAGAAAACATGATAAACTTAATGTAACTACACATACATGTACTGTAGAGATATTAGGTACTTTTTGGAAGCAGGAAAGATGAAAAATTAGCAACACCTTCGCCGGGAATCGAACTACGAACTCTGGAATACGCGCCCAGCGTGCTGACTACTACACTACGAAGGCATGCTAACAAGGCGGGAGAAATACCTTATATACTCCCCTTTTAAAATTCTACGGGGGTTTAGGGACCCAGTCGTCAAATCCTGGGTGTGAAGAATCATCCTCCTCCGCCCTTTTTAGTTCGGGCACCACTGTAGAGACGTTAGGTATTTTGGGGAAGCAGAAAAGATGAAAAATGGGCAACACCTTAGCCGGAAATCGAACCACAGACCTCTGGAGTACGCGCCCAGTGTGCTGACCACTACACTACGAAGGCATGCTAAAAAGGCGGGAGAATACCTTATATAACACCACGAAGGCATGCTAAGAAGGCGGGATAAATACCTTATATTACATCAGAAGATTTTTTTTCATAAAACAGATAATTTTTATAAATCGGTATTTTAAAAATGATAGCATCTATTTTTAAGGCGCGGTTAATTTGATAGCAGCTTCGTGTTTCTAACCAGATTAAGGAAACAAATCGTTGATTTAAGAGTATCAGCATATCAAGAATCGTTAAACAGATTTTGCGTGCTGCTAAGAAATTTTCCATAAATTTAATGCATGCCATATATATCATGAGTGACTATGTATTCTATGAGTGAGGACATTAATGTAAATTCAGATGTGCGAATAAATATAAAAGTGGTGGGAAATAAACAAGTGTGTAACCTCTAAACCAATATATCGTGTTCGCTCAAACCGTTTCTGAACTTCCTGAAAATGTAGTTGGACTTCAGATAGAAACACTTCTCCGAACAGTCGAAAGAAAGACCCCTACCTAAACAGATGACATCTGCATTAATTGTTGCGACTGTATCAGTCCGTCAGCTTTTGCTTTCATGCACCTCTCTGTTTGTCACCACTGAAAGGAAAGTGAAGAGCAAAGAAAAATCTGTGGATGTCACTACTACAGCGCCGTCTAGTAATACTTTAATTTCTAGAACAGTTAGTTCTCAACAAGCGCTAAGAAAGAATATCAAAGTGATGCAATAGACTACCAAAAAAACTGCACCCTCCTTGTCTTCAAAATTAGCTGCATTCTTACCTTCTCCCTCCCCCATCCACAGCTCCCTTCGTTCCCAGCTCTTCACATCTACCAAATGAATATTTCTGCGACGGTTCATAACTCGTCGAGATGTGTTCATGAGGAGTTGGAAAATCTACCTTCCCTGCAAAATTGTCCTACCTGCACGTACAACTTCCCGCTGAAAGAAACAGTGGAAATCGAGTGTAAACTATAGTATCTTTCAAATCCATCAAAATTTCAAATTCTGAGAACGTGCAGCTTGGAAAAGATGGCAAACGTTTTTGCTATAAAAGTGGTTTTTTTATGTGTTGTGTTGTTTGCAACGGCAGCTTTAGCGGTCGAATTTTCTCGGGACACTGAACCTAGAAGGTTGGCTCAGACTTATACAGGCAGGTGTAACAGAGAACCTCCTGGCGTATTCGTCCCCAGATCAACTGGGTCTAAATTCGAAATTAATATATCTGGTCATCCAGCGAAGTATCAACCTGGGGAAGGTTACACAGGTAAATAAATTTTATTCTAAAAGATGCATGCAGGGCATTATAAAGTATGCTTTCTTTGATTGTTTTTTGCAAAAATATCGCATTATTTTGTTCTTTTGTAGATTAATTAAACTGTTCTATAACACCTCTCTAGATAATTTTTAACGTTCATGATAAGTTTCATTTTATCAGCTGTGTATCCATTAAATAGAGGAACGTTTAATCTGCAAATTTTGCAACAAGTCCAGCAACAACGATAACTAATATTGGCAAAACATAAATAAAGTGCTTATTTCTGTAAGCTGTATGTATCTAGTGAGTTAAAATATTCAGTACTTGTAACTGACTTGAAATATGTTTTGATATCATAGTTTCAGACTAGTTTGAACTAGTTCAAGGCCGTTCTAGACTAGTTCAAGATCGTTATCAGAGTTTCATTTCACGAACAATGTATTATGCACAAATATTCAGAGATTTTACCTCAGTGTCCCTTGTGCGACATTTCAGGAGACAAGCATTTTTAACTTACTTATGATCAAGCGAAGAAACATATTTTGAAATATAGAATTACGTAATTATTTTCATACCTACGTTGGTAAAATATTTTTATGGCTACGGTTAAATTGAATTATAAATTTGACGTATTTTTATTAGTATGAAATTTAACGATAACTTACAGGGTTTAATTTCGCCAAATGCGTAGAGATTACAGACACCTGGTAGAGCATGTTTCATACTGCAGCGTATGACAGCCACTATTTTGTGTATCATGGTTAAAAAAATAGCATCTGAAATCTTATTAAATCATTTAAAATAAAGTTACATTTTATATAATTTCATATGTCAGGTGCTTATACACGTTTTTGCTTTTAAGGCCCTTTTTGTGTTTAAGGCTCATAAAAAAAGATATGCTAAACTATGTGATTCAATTTCGTTATAACTTCAATTTCATATGCAACAGTATTCTAAATTTTGGCTTTATACATTCAAATTTCTAAGAAAATTTATCTGATATACTGCATTAGTGCTTCACAAATATACTGTTACTACATATGGTACAGTTTTTCTATAAGGGAGTGCACTAGTGTTAATCTCTAATATTAAATAAGGCAATATCCAAATTAATTATGTATTAAGTGTATGGATGTTTGTTCCTTTTATTTTGGAAACCAAATCCTTTTGAGAAACCAAATTTTGAACACACATAGTACTCCACACGAACATGTGTACATCTAAACCTGAAGTTTGAGTTTCAAATTTGTCTTTTATACATTGCCTATTCTGTGAGAATTTTATAAATGTTTTGATAAAAAAACTCAGCGATTTAAAAGCAATCTGCTGCCACTGCGCGAAACAAAATAACTTTTGTCATCTGCGTACCATTGTGTTCTATTCGGTAAAACGTAAGATATTCATCTTTGACACTTAATTAATAAATTCAGCTATTTAAAAGCAATTTGCTGCCGCCGCCAGAAATAAAATAATTTTATCTTCCATGCGCAAATATATTGCCATTAGGCGAAACATTAAGATACTTAACTTTTTAATTTAATTTCTGTCTTAATATTCCAATATTTATCGTATTTAATAGTATTATTGTAGAGTAAACTTTATAAATGCTAAGTTATTGTTGAACGTGAAGAATCTTAAGAACTGTTAAGCGAATAATCGCTTGAGTTTGTGTGACAAGAAACAAGAAAATGAAAGGGTAAATAACCCTTTATTATTCAAATAAGATTTAACAGAACTCCGTCTTGGAGTTTACAATAAAAGCCGATATTTGAGCTTGAACGTAAGAGATTAAGAAGTAAACTAAAACTAATTTAAACTAAAAGAGATATAGCCGAAGCTATCAAGATTCTAACCGAGTTGGCCCCTTAACTCTGATTGACTGAGAAGCTATCAAGGGCCTGAGTACGGCCGAGCGTAATAACAGCTTTGAGAGAGAGTAGCCTAAAAGGAGAACGCGCGCTAATCAGAAACTCTGATTCTCTCTACGCAGCAAGTAGAACTTCGCGGTTAAATACCGTTCTTCCTCAATATGTATTCAGAGTAATTCTAAAACGACGTTCTGACCGGAAATAGTAAGTTGAAGTTAAGAATCGACAGAAAAGTAACTTTAACTCAAAATTTAACTGTTAATAAAATTAACATAATCCTTACAATATGTTTGAACAATTTTTGGATTTATGTGTATGGCTTGGATATGTCATGGTGTGTATATGTCGGGGCATGTATATCATTTATTCTTAGGCATTTGTTTTTCCCATATTTATCATATTTAATGGTATATATAATAACAAGATATAGGTACGTGCTATGATATGTATATGTTATGGTATGTATTAAGTAAATGTATATGTCTGGCCAATTGTAGTGTACGCGGTGGAACATAAAACCGCCACTCTCTGTTCTCCCAAAAGTATATTTATGCACTTGTTTCAAGTACCTAACTCTATGTAAATAAGCTCCTGTATGACCACATATGCACTGTATTACTGTCAATAAACTCCCGATGCGGCCTTTATTGGACACCGGGAGGCCATGGCTCGACTAGATAGTTGCGCGTATCGGACTATACAAGATTTGTTATAAAAAGCCATCTGGGTGTCTGGCCCTGCATTCACCTATTCACCTGTCTCTGTCTTACTGATTATTGAACTAGACTATTTAAAAATGATAAACGAAGCTCTTAATGACATTTTTAAACTTTTTAATCAGATTGATTTAAATGAAAAGGTGAATGATTAATTCATATTATATCTAGTTAATTAATTTCTTTACGCCCCGTTTTTTAATAGAATCGTTTTTACACCATTTTAATTTTTTTTTAAAAAAAGAAAATCTTCTTTTGAGATATTTAATGACTTTAGATGAATATGTTTTGTCCAGTTGGACTCGCGCTAGTAATTCGTACAAAAATTCTTCAGTATTCATTCAGCATTTTTATATATTGTGATAATTTCACTCTTGCTTTAATTCGTCATTCTCTGAGAAAGTTTTGCCAGGCTTTATTTCATAGGTAGAGAGAAAAACTATTTTGTTACATAAATAATATATATGACGAGTGCTACAGAATGATCACCGCGTCTCCTATCGTTGAATTCTTCAATAAAAATCAAATACAATAATTGATATTTGTGCTACTATCTGTACTGCCAATATATATTCAAAGACAGAATAACATACCCAAAATAATAAAATGGTAGTTGAAAAGACCTGAAGAAAAGAAATAAGCTGATCCAAAATTCAAATTCCTTATTTAATTGTTAAACAATAATATGGCCTTTTTCCAGGTCTTTTGAGATCATAATTAAAAGCAATGATTATATTTAAAAAAAATAAATAAGAAGAAGAAAAATATAAAAAAATCTGAAATTCAGATTTTAAATTGCGTCCAAAAGGGCGTTTTTTCAACGTTTTGTGTGTTACCTTTATTTATTACTTATCATGTTCTTTGGACTTAAACCATAAAATTCAGTTCAAGAGCAATAGCGCAAAATAGTTTTAAAATGAGCATATCTTTAGAATTTCCCATACAGAGACTCGCGCGCTGGAGATAAAAATGTTTCTTTCTGTACAACGTTGCCATTGCTAGCTTCGAAATCCTTAAGTTTGTTAATCAAAAATTCGTTAAAGTTTTACAATTATGAAATCGATAATAAAACAAATTCCAAATTTCAAATTTTGTCTTCCACATGCCCATATTCATAGGAGGATTACGTCTTTCAAAATTTGATAGCTCTATGTACCGTTATTTTATCACAATGCGAGAAATATACATACATTTATGCAGATTTTTCATTATTTAATTTCTTTAAATATAATGCAGGACTCTAACATTTTGTGGCAACAGTTTGAAAAGTGAACCGACATTTTATAGGAGTCCGACGCAAAATGCCAAAACGAAAGTAATAGTCCTTAGAGACTCAAATCCCTTTGACTAATTATGCAGTAAGCTACAGTATTCACTACAGCTCATTTTATAGCTGCCGTTCCATCTAAATTCTAGAATTGATTAAAATTGTGTAATAAAAAAAGCATTACTTTTAATTTATTGCTAATATCATTAAATTTTTTTATGAAAGGATGCTGGTTGGACCTAATGTTGACACTGATACGGCTCATTAAAATTTTCATTTTTTATAATGACAACTAATTTAGGCGGCTGATCGCTTAAACTGTTAATATAATATAAGTATCAAAATTGATTCTTAGAAATTTTAAATCATAAAATTTGTAAATTGTTAAGTAAACGTTTTTGCCAAGAAACTGTCGTACACCATTATTTAATCGTATTTAAAATTCT